TAGCCTAAAAGTATGATCACAGCTCTCACGAATCACACATCACATGACTCCTGAGCATTGCGTACACACGACACAAGTACAAAACACGCATAGATGATGCACAGACAGTGGAATTTTCCCAAAATTATATGAGTTGGACTTACTTTTCCACTTAATTTCGCATAGCCTTGTTTCCCCAAAGGTGTTCTCATCCAGAGTCAGCTGCCGTTTCTAACGGTCCTGGGCCTCATTATCATTTCCAACGAGATTTGCACCCGGATAGTGCAATGTAGAATTTCTACATGTTACCTCGACGCGACATTTTCACGAGTAAACACAATTGATGTGGCAGATGTGAAGTTCAAGAAAGGCCAGGCATTTTCCAATATTCTGTGACTCATCAGCACTCCTAATGTAAAATTGAACCTGGATAGTACAGCCTGACCTGGCTCTGCTTGAAATTAGCCTCTTCCCTATAAAGTACGAGCACTCGTGAATGTGTGGCCTAGTAGCAACATGTCGACATTATACAATAAACTTTCCCGATTCTCTTTTTGTTGAGGGGGCTGATGAGACCCAGGTGAGGCCGAGAATACAGTCTGCTTTAGATGAGATTTCTTTTTGGGAAGCAAGGCCAAGTGGAATCCACTGGAAGATGAGGCACACTCATATAATATGGGAAAATGCAACGGTTAGCCCTTCATCTCCTTAGGCCAACTAGAATGACCAAAATTGTATATATGACATGTATTCGACTTTATACGAAATAGGATGCATACATATCATATTTATGATCTACTGGCCGTCTCGAAAACCTACTGGAAAATAAAACTTTTATGCAAAATTTTCTCATACTTCCCATGAATTTAAGTTTGCTATCATCAGGAACTGTGCCAAATAGAACGTGCCAGTAAGACCGGTCAACGCAGGGCTATGAGGGATTGGCCCATCTTTATACATAAAAAACTTTCTTTCTAAATTACAAGTAATATGAAAGTTTTTTTCGACAGATTGTCTGACCTTGTTTTCGCAACTTGGTCATATTGGCAGGAAGGCTTAGAGGAGCACATCTTGTCCGGAGTTCATAATATGCATGATCATTTCCAGAGTCGGACAGTGGACTTGGTACATTCTCAGACGTTTCGCCTGCCTCGTAATCATTCAATCTAGCATAACCAGTTCCTACTCAAAAAGGCCAATTTACAGCTGTCGTCTTGTGGTGGAATCAACCTTCGAATCTCTTCACCAAACACTTTCATTTCAAAATGGTAGCATGCTCAACAATTATTAAAAAAAAAGATATTCTTTGAAACCCAACTTTTCCTTGCCTCTTCCATAAGTTATACAGATTTTTCGAAGGTATGAAGACCAAGATGCTATGGCCTTTTGTGAGGTCGCAGTCACCTTTCGTTGTATAGAGGTTGTTTGACCATGTTTTCGCAACATGGTCAAACAACCTCTTTGCTGATTTTTGCTTATTTGTGTCAATCGAAACTAGGCCGCGTTCTCGCTTACTCATGAGTACTATGAAATAAGGCACATAAAGAAGTATGCCGTCATAGTACAGTACCGACTACACCAAACAGCCGACAGAGGCTGAAGTAGCTGAGACATAATCATCCTCATGTCTGCAGTACAGCCTGGGAGGCAAGTCTAAACGAAATTATATGACATCGAGAGGTTAAATATTATAATTATGGGAGAAACTCGCTAATCAGTACTTAAATCACATAAAGTGACCTTGGCTGATTATGTTCATATGCAATGTTCAATGCTGTTGATCCTAGGCCTCTCAATTTTCCTTGTAACCTGAATCCAAGGGTTACCTGGCATCTTACAAAAATTAATTTTAATATAATATACTAATAATTATATTATTAGTATTACTTTCTCTCTGGACCAAAGCTCATTCGTTCGCATAATTCTGCTTCCAAATTTTTCAAAGACATGGTTTACTGATTTTAACCTGCCCGTATTGATGCTTGCTCCTATTCGTAATACCTTAATTTAGCCTGCAATGTTAATTAATTAATTTTAATTAATTTATATTATAAATTATCTGATATTTGCCAATGTAAGTGTAGTTTAAAATAGGCCTTGAGATAGAATTGAAGCCAAAAGACAATTTCACCAGATTTATAGAAACCTACCGGCAACTCTCTTCTCTTCTTCACCATTAGGCTTGGTTTCCATCATGCCCTTGTGTTCGTTTGCAGCCTGCCAACAGCCTGGACGAATAATATTTGCTGGTTCGAGTGATCTCTGCCTTAAGTCTAGGAGCCGATCAGATAGAGGTTGCCCTGACAACAGAGCTGGCTCCGACACGGGCATTTTAAGTAGAGTGGATGAATGTATACTGGGGCCAGCCCTCTGAGCTTGCCGTTTATGTGGCTGCATATCCTCAAATCGCTGAGTGGATGTCGTCATAGCAACTGGCCTTTTTCCTGCTCGAACTTCGCATTCTCCACCACCCGTTACGGTAACCAGCCTGG